ATTTTTACAATTTTCTGCGACCACAAACCTTTGATATATGCGTTTCAGAAAAAACCAGAAAAATCCAGCCCTCGCCAAGCACGACAGCTTGATTTAATATCACAATATTCTACCGACATTCAGTATATCAATGGTATCAATAACGTGCCTGCCGACATGCTTTCGAGAATTGCTACAATCTCTTGCAAGGCTTTAGACTCTTCAGTGCTAGCTACAGCACAAGCTGATGATCCCGATCTCCAACGCTTGAAACAAGAAGGCAAATTCACCTTTCAAGAAATTCAAGATCCTTTGTCAGCTCAGCATCTCTGGTACGAAACAACGCTAGGAAGAAATCGTCTATACATTCCGCCTCCGCACCGTCGTCACATCTTTGAATCTACGCATAACATCGCACATCCTGGCACAAAACACTCCATTAAATTAATTTCCAGAAACTATTTCTGGCCAAGTATGAGAAAAGACACGTCGAACTGGGTTAAGACCTGTCTTCAGTGTCAGAAAAACAAAATACATCGGCACATCAAATCGCCGATTGGAACTTTCTTGGATCCCGACGCAAGACTTTCGCATGTCCACGTAGATATAGTTGGTCCACTTCCACATTCAGAAGGTTTTGAGTACCTATTTACAGCCATTGATCGCTTCACGAGATGGCCCGAAGCTATCCCCATCACTAATATAACGGCTGAAACTTGTGCGAGAACACTTGTCAACCATTGGGTTTCTCGCTACGGAGTGCCCTCACAAATAACAACTGATCGTGGTACACAATTCGAATCAGTCCTCTTCTCGGAGCTTCGCAACTTAATCGGAGTTAACAGACTTCGCCTTTCACCCTATGTCGAATGGTCTTGTAGAAAGATTTCACAGGAGGCTTAAGACAGCTCTAAAATGTCATGACGCTCAGTGGGTACGAGCACTCCCTCTTGTGTTACTTGCACTTCGAAACGAAGTGAAGGAAAACATAGAAGCAACACCATCAGAACTTCTTTATGGTACAACATTAAGAATGCCTGGCGACCTCACAGACCCGCGACTGATACAGACTTCACAACCATTTGCGGATTCAACATTCGCCGATAAGATCAGAAACGTTATGCAGAAGATAGCCTACACTAGAACCACTCACAACCGCGAACAAGACGTTTACGTGCCAAAAGACTTAGGAACTGCAAATTTCGTTTTTGTGCGCGTTGATCGTGTTAAACGGCCTCTCGAAGCACCGTACAATGGTCCGTTTAAAGTGTTAGATAGAAAGGACAAGTTCTTTACGCTTCTTATCAATGGTAAACCAAGTACCGTCTCTATAGATCGGCTCAAAGTCGCCTACATCGAACCAGATAAGCAGTATCCCACACAAGCGAACATCACTCCAGAGAATACTTCACATCGAGATCCTGCACCAGTGAAGTCACCGTCGACAACGCGCTGTGGACGTGTGGTTCGGTCACCTGTCCGTTTCGGAACCGTAATCACAAATACTTAATTTTCAACATATTGTTTGTCTCGTTATCACATTGTTAATGAGTTATCTTAATTTTCGTTCGCGCCTCTCACTAGGAGGGGGGTACTGTAGCATCACCAGAGCTGCGGAAAAAGTAATGGCCGCTATGGTGACGAAAGAAACAATTTTTAGAAAAGTCTGTTTTTCGATAAAATAAAAAATAAATAAAAGTTTCCAATTTATAAAGTGCTTAGTTTAAATTCACGGACCTTCGACCACATTGCCCACAATCTTAACCAAAAAATGATGGCGTTATAAGTACTAAATAAACCTTTAGTAAAAAAAAATCAGTTTGGGATATTACAGGTTATGCTTATATACTTCAATTTTTTTGAACTACATATACGCATAACAAAATAAAAAAAAAATACGCGAGAATATTTGTTTATTTTTTATGTCGTTTATACAGAAATATTTCTGGAATTTTAGGAACTTACGATATTTAAAAACTAGTGGAGAAACTTAAAAAATCTCGTCATAAAAAAACTAACCCTTATAAAATTTGAACTTGGTTAAGATTTGCTGCAGCGGTCAACGCACTTTTTTAATATGGGTAGTTATTACATTTACGGTAAAATTACATAAATAAATGAAACAGATAAATAATCCTATTAATATAAATGTGATTATTTTAGAACATGAAGTAATAATTTAGAATCACAGTACATATGTATAACATATACTTTGGCTTTTATAACATTTCTCCTATTTTTACTTCCCGAGGGTAAGCTAAGAAAGTACGAGAAAGTAATCCCCCCGTCTGTCCTTTATATTGTTAAGAAAAAGAAACCCATACGCCGCCCCGGTACGACGCTTATGGGTTCTAGTATGTACGGCGCTGATGGGTGACTCATCATAGGTGACGGTGGCCGGTGGCGTTCGCTAAAGAAAAGCCTGAAATCAGAAGTCGCGATGGGTATTCCAGAAAGACGTCGATTGCTGAATATCTAGAAGGGAAATATGGCTTTAAATAGAGGCCACCTTCGGGAACGGAATTATTCAATGAACGAGTCGAGTCTAGTGAATGTTGAGAATCCAGTCAAGTTGCGCCGGAATTATTTGGTACATAATCGATGTGTAATTAGTCGTGTAAATTTGAGTTACTAAGAAATAAATTGTTGAGTTTTACCCACGCCGATTTTAAATACCAGTATATCGCAACCACATGTGCGTCGGTCTAATTGTCTGTTTATCTGTCTGTGCAATTGTTGTCGAATTTAATATGTTAGTAGACGATAAAACGCAACTTCACAAATAATCTGATCAACTGATGACGCCCTCTTAAAATTTTTCGTACATACATACACTTGTACTTGTCGCTTATGAATCCGACTTGAGTTCTCAAAAAAAAAATGGAATGACAAATATAGACTCATCATATTTTGGACATTTTAGCTGATGTTATCACATTATTGGTGGGGATGATTAGACAAATTTGGTTAGTGTTTTACTATCTACATGAAATTCCTAATATAAATACAAAATTTGACAACAATCGGCCCAGTACTTTCGGAGATTAATCTGTCTAATAAAAATCCGTACGGCAGACAGACGGACAGACAGGTGGAGAGACAAACGAACAGATAGACAGACAGACACACAGACAGACGGAAACGGGAGACCTATTTCTTTGTACTCTAGGGGTCATGAAAGGTCGAGAAAACGTAAAAGTATAGACGCGGCCGACGGATTCGATTACAATACTTCGTTCGCTTACGCTCGGGAAGTAAACATTGGTCTAAAGATGTTTAGACAGAACTTCCTTCGCTCCAAAAGTACAGGCGAAGAACAGATTCTTCGAAAAATTATAAAATTATATTTTGCGATGTTTTTATAATAACCCCTATAAGTTAAAATACAGAAATGTGTGGACTGCTAATGTACAAGGAAAGAAGAATGCTATGCATATATTTCAAGTGAGTTTTCCCATAACAAAATTTTATGAAGACGTCATCAACAAGGACACGTATATCAGTTTGAATAGGTGCAAACTCAAATTTTTCGGAAAATTGGGTAAACCGTTCTTGGAATGGTTATTAATATAAATTGCCTCATTAATTTTTTTTTGACTCACTCTGTACAAATAATTCTAAAAAATATGGATGCAGAGATAAATCACAAGTACAAAGTCAAAATAGTTTGTATATTTTAGATAGATAACGTCATCAATTTTTTGGGAGAGGATAAAAAATAAACGGTTAAATTTTGAATAACGATTTACACTGCAAGATTTCAGAGCACTCGTTTTTTCAGCTTCTAATTTAAATTGAAAAATGGTGTTATACAATCTTGAATTTTTTTTTCAAAAATTTAGATACCTGAAGTAAAAACTTAACACGGATTCCTAAACCACACGTGCCAGAATATTTTATTCCATAAAATTTAAATTACATTTACTGTTACAAAATTTTGAGCTGACGTTGTCATAGTGTTGGTTGGTGTTTTACCAACTACAGGATATTTATAATATACGTACAAAATTTGACAACAATCGGTCCAGTAATTTCGTAACCTACATGTTTAATAAATGTCGAGACAGACGACAGACAATAAACGGAAACAGAAGACTTACGTTACTATACTCATGAAATGTCCAGAAAACATTAAAGTATCCATTCGTCAGATGGATCCTATTACTGTACTGAACTTACGCTCGTGAACTAAAAAATATTTTATGAGGAAATCTGCCGTATTTGCTTAGGTGCGTTGTCTACAACGTGCTAATATTTTTTCCAAAAATTTTTAATTTATAGATTCAAGAAAATAGTCAATTTGGAATGATGTAATTAGGTAAAGTATGAACTATGAAAATGGAAGATTAGACTATTTAATATGGCTTTTTTAAAAAGTGTTTGAAATTACATATTAATAAATTATGCAAAACATCTAATACTTGTAAAACCTAGTTTAAAATTTTGCATATTAATCTAACCCCAAAAGAATTGCATCGTCAATAATTACAGTATTCATTTGCATCTTCAATTTAATTACCTAACGACTTTATAATCGACTAGTAAGATATTTTGTATTGATAGATAATTATATTTGTTATTAATATTAATTTGTCACCTTAAAATAAATAAATCGAAATTATAAACATTTTGCGCGACGCGTGTGACATATAATTGACATTTGACATATTTGTAATTAATCAACTCTATCATTAGATCGAATCGTAAAATACACAGCCAACGTGGGTGGACAAATATTTATAAACCTTCCACATTGCACATGTATAGGAGTCTGGATCGGAAAGGTTTCTACAGTTATAGATGTGATTAGGTATATCTGCATTTCTGTTTTGGTTTTTACTTTTTAATATCTACTAATTTAGCTCAATTCTCCTGTACCGTGCATTTTGTAACGCGGTAATATCAGATCACGTGGATTACACTTTTTTAAATACCACCCAAAGTTTGCTTTCGTACGTGACAGTGTAAATAATAATTTTTTAAACGAGGTGAGAAATTAAAAAGGTTATTATTCAACTTACTCTCCTTTGTTGCGCGCTTTCGGTATTTCGAACAGCACGAACTCGAGTCTAACTCGCTCCAGATGCTGGGAATCCTGCATGCCGTAGATGAAGTAACGACAGACTACTTTTGGCACGTAGAGAAACGGGTAGTTAGGACTGAACACGAACCCGCTGGATTCTTTCTTGCTTAAGATTTTCTGGTCGCATTCTGATCCTCGTATATGTTCACCGTCGTTTTTCCTTATAAAGTCTGGAAAACGAAGTTAATCATTAAATAAAGCGAGTAAGTAACTGTTGCCGTAAAATTATAATAATTTTATATTTATAGACCATCTTCATCGTAAGACTAGATCTTTATGGCCTAGTTAGTCTATATATCAAAGAATAAAAAGTAAATAAAAATAATGGGGTAATATTGTAGTCATAAATACGACTAGACATTGCTAAATAGTCAATTCTGTAGCTCACAAAAGCACATCTGCAAGAAAGCACGTACATAAAGACGCGATCAAAATGCGCAAAGTACCACAATAATCTAGTTTACGAATGCCATCTATATTGTATTGGATTAGGATATCTGAAGTAGAAAAATTTGCTGGATTTATATGTAAATTTCGGATGCTGCAGATTTGAATATCATACGAAAACTCCGAGCTGGATCATTATTCGCCACTCATTTTTCACGCCGAACTAGCAAAAAGTAGGTGAGAATTTCAACTCTTTCGTTATTTTATTTTGGCGAGATGTAAATGCAGACCATTAATTCCTCGCGGGAGCTTTGCTTGAAATTTTTTGGTTAGTTAAATTTTCAAAGTGGCGTTTTCTTTTTACACAGATAAAATGGTCTCCTATGCCACTCAGAGTAACGAATTCCTAAATTATTGTTCGATTTAAAAAAAAATGCAGATTTTAGTGTGCGTTGTTCTGACTACTGACCACTTTGTGACAGAACAAAATCTTCGCTACATCCTTCACAATGGCTTTTCGTTGTTGATTTTGTGGTAATTTAAATATCTGCTCAACTGTTTGTCAGTAAAATTTACCCAACTCACCTAATTTGGTAAAAGAGTTTGAGAACTCAAAGATGCCCTTAAAGCCTCTATTCTGAGTATTGGCAGTGCGTGGGAGGGTGACGAACGTAACTAGAAGAGAAGACTCGGACGAGTAGATGACGAGATTGCGCTGCTGACCACAGTAAGTGCCTATTACAGCCGAACTGTTGTCCTGACCGTCGTACACCTTCACGTAATCGAACGGACAACTGTGTGCGAAAAAATGTTTTTTTAGGAGCGTGAAGTAGATATATTCGACGAAAAAAAGATCACTGTGTTGCAGTGAAATCAATTGCTTTTACAGATGGTTCCTTGTTAAGGATAAATTGACTTAAGTCTATGTTGGTTCACATGTACGACCTGTCCCAACTTTAGGAATCGAATATGAGTATATATTTTTAATTTAAACAAAATGTCACAACGCGGTACTTAAAATATAATATACCATACAGATTTGCAGAGTAAAACAATAATAATAATAATAATTATGACTTCGTTCGTGTTACTGGAACAAAGTCATAAATTGAAATAAAATCAGGAGATACATATTAAAAAATCGCAGAAAATGTATCCTTCTGTTAGGACACCTATTGAATAGTCATTATCCTGTGCTGGAATAATAAAATAGTGATGGTGTCCTTCTACTCCAGGACCTCGTCTTCTCTCACCATTCCCTGTTTACAAGTCAGGCATTGTTACAAATACAAATTTAGTCGTTAAAATGTAATGACTGCTTGATCAAATCGCTTTTTACTACATATAGTTACTTACTGAGGACCGCCAAAGAAGAGATCGAAATCCCTGAATTCCAAGCGTATCCGTTGATCAGGCACCCCGAGGAACTGATAGTTACAATAGAGCGCCTTGGGGTAAGCGCCCGGGTAAGTAGGCGATAAAATTACCCCCGTTGGCTTCACTCCGCCCTTCACCAAGAAATTGCACGGGCCACCTGCTACCGGAATTCCAACTTCGTACTCCGCTGAAACACGGAATAATATACTGTTGCAACAAATTTATAAATTCTGAAAAAATGTAACAAAAAAAAAAAAGAAAAACTGAAAAATAGTTTCGGGAAACAACAATTTTTCTTTAAAACGTGATAGTAAGAAAATCAGGATCCCAGAAAGCGGTGAAAATAGTTATTAGTGTTACAAGAGAATGCAACGACATACTGGTGCATGAAAACCAGAGTCAAGTTACATATGACATTTTTACGACTACATATGAACAATAAAATTATTTCGTAAAATTGGTAACCACTAATGACAATTTTATTGTCTTTTTTTTAACAAAACACAAATTATTAATCCGTAGCAAACGATTTTTTGCGCCGTTTGGATATGATGAAAAAAATAGGTTAGTAATAAAATTATTCCAGTGTTTAGATTTTCTTTCAAGGGTTCCGTCGTCGTGGTCATTTTAATATGACGACAGAAAAATTATAATAATTTATTTTTTCGAACAACGGCAACACTACTATGCTGTTGATATACAAAAAAATTCCATACAATAATCTAAATTTGAAATTGTTGTCTTCAGTTGTTAGTTTCATTTAAGGCATAGTTTCAGAATAATGACGAGGTTAAAAATAAAGGGTGATCAAAAAGTTTTCAGATTAGATTTGGCCATGGAAATATACTTTATTAAAGTTTATGCATGACTTTTACAGGTTAACTTTTTAATCGTCCGTTATATAGCGAATATTTAGTGGATTACATAAATATATATATGTATATCTGTTGTAATTGTAGCGATGTGTAAATATATACAGGGTGGCTCAAAAAACCGAAACAGACGGGACCGTAGGCGCTGTACTTTATTATGTGAAAAACGCTCGAATAGGTCGATTTTAGATTCCAGGGGTACGTATAACGTTGCTAGTTTCTTATGTTTGTATGGAAGTGAATGGAGGTCATTTTCATCTTAACGAGGAAGTCAAGAGAGGTGCTATTTTATTAATTTCTCATAATACAATTTCTCAGGAACCAACTTTCAAAATTCAAAGAGAATTAAAAGGGATCCACACAAGATGCCATTTAAGATTTTTGACTTGATAGTCGCCTCTCATTCCTGGGTGAAGGTAAAATAACGAAAATAGTAACGTTATACGTCCCTCTTGAATAAAAAATCAACCTGTTCGAGCATTTTTCACATAATCAAGTACAGCGTCTACGCTCCCGTCTGTTTCGTCTCATTTGGGCTCCCTGTATAAAGGTTATACTGTTTGCTACGTAACCGTAAATCTGTTAAACAGGTGTTTAAGGTCGAGAATGCTTACATATTTATCGTGGACTACTGCAAAAAAATCCTTTAACACAGTCTAACAAAACTCCTAATTTACATTTTTTGTTTCAAATTTTTTAGTGTAAAAATTATTACACAGGGTTAGTACATATAAAGTATCGGAACGATTAAATAACTTTGATGTTTGAAAAGCTTTTTTTTTTAATTTGGTGGGGATGAATAGTTAAATATGGCGACTTGATTACAATATTTTTCTTTTTTTATCGCTTTCGGTTTGACAGACAAGGCCGCCTACTTTTTTTTTAATAGAACACCCAGATTTTTTGACATTTTCTGATGCCGAATAAAAAACTACTTTCAGAAAATGTTAACATGTAACTCTCTGTGGCAAAAAATGCCATCCGGACAACGAGTTTTCCATATCTTTGCATTTTTTTTAAAACAGTGGTCGCTTTAAAAAATTTACGCCTCCACCATTTTTAAAATGGAGGTTTGGAATTTTCCACAAAACATTAAGTAATCTTGTTTTAACATGCGCATACAAGACCTAGCAAGGTTTCAACTACAGGGTGACTACGTTTGCAAATTTTTTGTTTTCTCATGTTTTTCAAATTGTACAATATATATTTTACAACATTTTCCAGCTTGTTCCTAAGAAATCTGGCTTTTAGTAGGTATTAGGTTTGTTTGAGATTGCATCATCGGAATAATATGAGAAAGCTTACAATTTGTCTGGTGTCATTTTTATCTACTTTTAAAAAGGATCTGCAGAGGTATATCGGCCGTTACTTTTAACACATATAACTACTGTGTATAACTGTCAATGAAACACCTTGTATATTTGAAAATAATTTTAAATTGTAATGGCTTCTACACTATGCCCCGATATTAAGTTTAAAAATAAAAATTGTTGCTTTGCTTAGTATAAGCAATTCTGCAACAATTAAAGAATAAACATGTGTTTAAATAAACAACTTTTTTTCTAATTAATTTATCTGAATAATTTACCCGTATTTTTTTTTAATTTTTATTTGTGAAAGGCTTGTTATAAGTGCAGACATTTTTATCCATTTCACTTTTTTCTGCAAAATAAGTTAAAAAAATCCTCTTGTAAACCCAATCCGGGGACATATTGTATATCATTACGTCATAATGTTTTATATTTATAATAATTCATCAGCAATGTGTAAATCTTTCACCCTCGGATTATTAAGACACCCAACCTTTTGTCTAAAAAAGTCCCGGAACTGTAATTTAACTTTGTTATTTGAAAAACGGTTATTTTGAAATCCGTAACGAAAAAATTGTTTGGCCGTTGCAGTTTTTTTTGTCTTTTTTGTATATTTTTTCGTTCAAGAAGAATTTTGTGGCCATCAAAATTTTATAAAGAATTAAAATAGTAACAACGTATTAATATAAAATCAAGACATGGTTTAATATAGATATTGATAATTTCAATTAACTTGTAACAAATATCAAAACAGTTTTCTATTTATGCGTTGGCAATGACCCAACTGATTCCTAAAATTTTTAGAATAATTGTTCTCAAATAACGAAGATAATTGACCCTTGCCGGACTTTTTGCGCACCTGTATAACTGGACAATTTCAGGTTAAGTCACGTTCTAACTAAACGAAAAAAATACATATCTGGAGTCTCATGTCTAAATCAATTTACAACCTGACATATATTACAAGCTAATAAATTGTATTTATAGTATTAGTTTCATTTGAAAAGAGCGTTATTTTGTTGAACAATTGGCAAAATATTTTACCAATCGCTTTTCAGTTCACTATTATCTTCAATTAAAATTTTTTTAGTGGATACAAAGCCATTCAATAAAAATAGTACTTCATCTTGCTCTTTGCAAGCATACAGTTTTCATAATAAGTCAGTTTTTCATAAAACAAAAAGATATTTTTGTCACTCTCGAATACTCCCTGGTATTCTTAATTTTATAAAACACGTTCTAATGTTTTTTGCGATAAAATATTGATAACATTATAAAGTTAAAACTTTTGCAATTCGTTTTATTGGAAAATTGATTTCTTGTCTTTTTGTGAAAACTAAAATTTTCCTTAACTTTGTGGCGTTACATAATAATATCCTTTTTTATATAATTGTCATAAAATAATACGTGACGAAGTTGTTTAATATTTTATTTCTTGACCAACACAAGTTAACTATTACATAATCGAGAATCGATTATGGAAGAATTAAGAATAAATTAGGCATAACGAATTTATAGTCAATATTATTGGCTAATCTCTATATACTTTCAGGACACCGAAAACAAACGACGTTTTATGAACTATTCTGCGGTAGTATCAACAGCATTTCGTTTGTTTATGTCCGTAATTTGGTTGATCGAAGATAGGACACAGGTTCATAAAGCTTTTAGTTCGTTTTTTAATTGTTGTGTTACCAATATAATCATCTGAGTATTTGTTATGTAGCTAAAGAACAGGTTTAACATTCTTCATGTTCCTACTAACTATTATAGAACTGTTATAAAAATGTCAAGCAATACCTACAAATTGGTGGAGGCGCCGGGTTATTAATGTACATTTTTTAAGATATTTTGATTACTGATCTACATTTAGTGACTTACAAATTCTAACTTAATGCCTATAAAATAAAAAATTGCATCATAATATATTCACTATACAACCTGATTTCGTGATTAATTTAGTACTTTTAAAATTTAAAATATTCCGTACAAAAAACCGACATTCTTTTTGGAAGTATCCGTTTTATCAGAGCACATACAAGTTATTGGTACCTTTAATAATAAACAAAGATCACACTGAAACCAGTATTTGGGACTCTCTCTATTAAGTTGTCTTAAATCAGCAAACAACGGCTTAATACAAAATTGACATGAGTGACATTAATTTCAAGAATATTACATTAGCTCACCAAATCTCACTTCACTCCGAATAAAATAAAATTTCGGACAAATCAAGTATCTATTTCGCAACGCAGTAGCAATAATCCAGGTGAGAAGATAATATCCTTGTTTTTTATTTCGACACGGGTCGTCTTTAACCAGTGTGAGAAACTCGTTTCCCGAGAATGATTAATCGCCAAGGGGAAAAACAAAAGATGGAGTAAAGAAAACGAATTAGGGCGTGGGTCAGATGCAGGAACGAGGACAAAGAGGTGTCGACTGGTCCACTGTGTTTTAGAGAACAATGCCTAAAACTTACAGTCATTGATAAATGTGTATCTGCCGGTGAAGAGGTCACTCGTCGATTCGTTCTTGTCGGTGTAGAAGGCGAGCGCGAGGGCGCGGTACAGGGACACCCGCCGTCTGGGTGGTATGGGACCGCAGAACCGACCACCAAACGGAGAGTTGATCAGCTCCGCGGCGTCTGGCTGGACCACTTCGGAATACACGTCCATGTACTCATGGACACAGCTGCATAAAAATTTCACATCAGTAAAGGCGCAGAAAGCTTAACTGTTCCGGAAGCCGTGCGGCGATGCATGCGTAATATTAACACCACAAAGCTGATGCACATGCCGAATTATTTTATAGTGGAAAATACGTTATATTCACATAACAAAATAGTAATGGTTACATTGTCAGAATACAAAATCAATGCATAATTCCATGCTATCTCGACAATGAAAAATTTTCATTGTCTCATATATTGGTACAAATTTGGCAAAAAGCTTATATGTAAGTCAGAAGTACCTATATAAAACGTTAGAATATTTACTAAAAAACTACAGATCGATAAGAAAAAAAACTGTATACGTCTAATAAGCAATTGGATTAAAAAAATTTTAAGCCAATTATTATACACTGGATGGGGGAAATACCTAATAAATATTTGATGTTAATTATATTAATTTTAAGGTAAAAATTTTGCTTCTATCTCGGTATCTTGATTTTGAATTTTAAAATCAAATGTTAATATCAACCCAAAAAAATACCCACAGTAATTTTTGTAAAATAATTTAATATTTGTTGAAGTTTTAAACAAACACACGGAAATGTTTTTGCTATTTTCAGTTGAAGATCTTAATTTTTGTTTTTAATCCACTTACCTATTGGACATTCTTTACTTTTACATAAACATTGTTAAAATGTCAAATATCGAATAAATAATTACTTAACATAAAGGTTGTTCAAAGCTACACCTAGAAAGCACCACCCGTTAAAAATTTTAGTAGAATAAAAGTTAGAAATTGTAGTATAATAAGAGAGTAAAATAATATTTTGCACTTCCTATTTATAACGACTTTGAATTTTTCGTCAGAAACAAGGAACAGACAACGGTTGCCTATTCGATTTCCATGTTTCGTTAATTTTCATTAACATCCATTTTAAAGAAATTCAACTTTTGAAGACTTGGATTATTTTGTCAGCGCTCGCTAACGTTCGGGCACAAACATAGCCCTCGAATGGTGATGATCATCTACTTCCGTTTTAATATAAACAACTATTTGTTATTACTTGTTAGATATAAACGAAACGTAATGACAAAGTGAATTCAGAACAATAATAAGCTACACTTGCAGACTTTGTCAAAATTGAGTGTCAAAACAGAATAACACAAGTAACAGATGCAAAATAAAAAAATATGCTATAACTTACAGGGAAGATTGTGTATTTAAATTAACCAATTTTTAAGGTGATAATTTCATAAAATGACATATTTTGCGTCTACATAATTAGTTCCATAAACAGTTATGTAATAAAAACGGAGGAGTTCAAGTGACACTTCATGGACAAGAACTCATAGGGATAACACAAAAGAACTTCTTTAAAGCGACTGAATTAAGTAGCTAGTACCAAGTTTCTAGCTCCTAAATTTCATGAATCTAACTTAGATAAATTTGTGTGAATATGAGAAGTCAAATAAAGCAGAAACAGGTATCCTTCTCCAAGGACTGAGGAAATTTTGACCGCATTGGAAGGTATAACGTTATTGTTTGGAAATCGATCTCAGTCTTGGACTTCAAGAGATCTGCACATTATACCACCCATTCTGTTCGTCATTAGTACAAGAGATGTAGCAATCATTTTTGAGATATGATTTTTCGAAATTGTATATAATGAACTTTTTTCAGAAATCGCAAACAATGTGCTCTTTCTATGCCCAAAAATGGGGATAAAAATTCGTTTTCTATGCCTAGGCATAGAAGTAAATGCGGTGTTGTCACATTAGTAACAGTGACGGCTCGTGCCAAAAAAACGTGGGTCGGCCAAACATGAGGATAACTCTAATTAGTTTTTTAGTTAATAAAATGTCATTGTCATTCGTTAAATCAGTTTTACGCCGTTTCGCAGATGGAGGAGCTATATCAGCAATTTTAAAGTAGCAATCTCTTCAACATCAGAATATATCTTTGAAAATAATGATCTTCATTTCGAATTCTTTTTAAAAAATTTGCTAACTGCTTAAAGTTGACTTGATTATCCGAACCACTTGTTCCGTCGTTACCTCGAAATGCCATTTCTTGTGTTGATAGAAAAATAATCATATTTATTAAATGTTTTACCATAATTCTGTTTTCTCGAACAGTCTCATTGTATTTATTTATATATGTATTCGTGTCTGGCACTATCCAACGAATTCGCGATATTGTGTTTTCCGAACAATTTAAATTTTAGAGTCAAATAAATATGCTCCTTAGAAATTTTGCGTTTGGCCAGTGCACGATGAACTTCTTTTAAATTATCACAACCACTAGAATTATAAGGGTTCTTGGATTCTGAAAATAATAAACAATACCAGAAAAATAATTTGTTACGTGTTTCGCTGCCAGCTAACGAAGGATATTTACAGTAGAGTGTTTTAGAAAATGCACGATTATGACCAGGCTTCGTTTGAATCAAATTGATAATTAACGTTGCTTCTCAAAAACTTTATGGCCATAAGTTAGTTCTTTAAATTTATGTATTAATAAATAATTAACCAAGTCGCCATTCATGTCAACTATATTGCGAAAAGTGTCCATCGTGAGTTTTTATACGAATTAATATAAATATATTTAATTATTTACCAATTCAATCAAGCGCTTCGTGCAACGTGCAACCAACACTGGTCAAAAATATTCATCGTTCGTTCATCTTCGGTTTATTAATCGTCCAAGTACGTTGGATTGCTACAACCGAGCCGGCCGGCCGACCGCGGGTGGAAACTATACGGGAATTCACGGACTATTTTATGTAAAATATTTTTTATTACAGGAGATGAATACAATTTCAACACTCTACAGTTAGGAATATACCGTATTAAGATATATATGATCAGTTGATTGATAAAAAGATTGCAGTATTGTTTGAATCATCCAATTTTACCCAACTAAATTAAATTATTAACGACTTTCTTAAATTTTGAAACTTTATGCTTGACATGCATAATTCTTTAATCAGTTTTTAATAATTTATGAAATAATGAAAAACCGTAAATATTGAAATGAATAAAATAAAAGAGCGATAAGTAGAAACGAGCGCGCCGCATCCACGGTGTCGTCTGCGTCTGCGGCAAAATCGGCCAGAGCGCTATCGGCCGATGTTGTGTGTTTCAATCTACGCCAGAATTGTAACTTAATGCAGCCATATACCGATTGGAAAGCATAAGCCGTAGCTCGTAGATTACTGTTGGTAATTTTTCAACGCATCGGCCGGCCGGGCCCGTGTCTATATAGGCATTTGACATAGTAAAATAGTTTCTCTCCGGGATGAATTTAAAACATTAAATTGTGTCTTCATTATTAGAAATTAATAGTAATTATTTTTATTCATTTATGTTTATTAATTTTTTAATTTTTAAAAATTATAGTATCAGTCTTTCAAAAATGCTAATAAAAAATTTGGATTTTCAAAAAAAATTGTTTTCTTACTTCTCAAATTATTTGGTACGGCCTGGCCGACCCTGCCGTCCCTGACGAGCCGTCACTGATTAGTAACATCTACCTCCACATTACACTTTACAAGGTGGTCAATTATTTTTCGTTTTAACAATAACTGTATACGCTTTGTTAGTCCTTTCTATTAGTCATTATAAATACATTCGATTTATTATTTCTATAAATATAATTTATATATATTTATTAATTAAATTTGCGCCTAATCTTGCAACGTCGCATCGCAACAGTTGATCTCGTGAAGTGTGGTGACCAATGCATACCCACATAACCTCCAATAAATTAGTGGTTTGTTTGGTTGAGATTGCCATTTCGGAAAATGTTTAATAAGTTTAATAACTATCATGGCATAGAAGTTCCTTTTTATATATCATATGATTATTAGGCTTGGCTGCGTCTTGGCTAATAAACTTCATATTCGATATAATAAAAGAGGAACTTCTGCGCCTTGATAAATTAATAACTGTTAGTCCACATTAGCGCAATCTTAAATCACTTCGTTGAAGTTAATGAAGGAATGCTCTTCGATCTCTCGGTTCACGACAACACTATACGTTTATTCCCCCTGTAACACCGAAAATATAAAATTAAAAAAAAAGTGGCGAAAGGTGTGGACATATTTTTGCAATTTTGTACTTTCGGCAGGTTAGTATTGTCTAGATAATGCCAATGTGGTTGACACAACGCAATTTTTGTAGTTTTTAGGTGTTATAATAGAGAAGATAAACGTATAGAAGCTGTGTGCAATGTATGGAAGATATAGCTCCTTATGTTATTCGGCACATTAGGTGCTTGTAATGTAAATATGTATTAAAATTCATATTTCATTACAAAAAAAAAAATCGCAACGGCGATAAGTACATATATGATTTAAAAAGAAACTTTAAATACATAAGAAATACATTTTTCAATTTATGGAATGTGTTTTTTTGCTGCTTCTTATAATCTATGTTAAAATTATTTTAACCAAGTCAAAAACAAAGAGTTCAAAAGCAAACTGTTAAATTTTACTAAATTTTGTATTTCTTTAAACTACGGTTGATTTGCTTGTAGTAAATCCAAATATTTCAGAAAAAAGAGTTTCTTTGCCTAATCTGAGCTTTTTTTAGTTAAGAAAACAATTTTTTTGAGTTACTGAAATCAGTGAAGTCAGAATTGATGTCAATATTATTTACAAAGCTGTTATTTTTAAATATTTCGAATGCCTCAAATCTGGGAAGAATTTTTAAATCATTTTCTCTTTGTTCTTTAAAAAATAGAAAATTCGGAAACCTATTTTTTTAACCTATTAGACTTTAACATAATGTTGTTTTTCATAAAATAGGCAGTAGTGTGACATTTTCAAACTTTTTTGGCAAGTAGTAACTCCGCCCGCCCGCCCTTTATTTTCTTAGAGAGTGTGCCATTTGACAAAATCACTCTTATCTTAACAAGTACTAACCCCGTCCACTCGCCTTTTATTTTCTTAGAGAGTACGTCCTTTGTCAAAATCAGTTTTATCTTGGCAAGTACCAGTCCCGTCCACTCGTTCTTCAT